TATATTATAACCGGTTGTCTTGATGGTTTGGAAATAAAACTACCAGTACGTTGCCGCTAACGAATATGTCGCTATGCCACGACATCCGATTGCCACGCTACTGTTACGCGCCTATATCGTGCGCACAAAGTATGGAAACGAAAAGTCTAAACGGCCGCGTTAACTATCTATCAATACGATGCGAAGTACTTGCGACGCGAACCGTGAGAGGAGCGGCGTCTATGGGCAAAGTACTCGCGATGCGTGCCGTGTCGATGTTAGAAGCGAACTAGTTTGACCTGCTCCCAGAGCTCTCTTTTATGGTAACATCATTTCAGTCACAAGAGAGAAATGGGATGCAGGTATTGAGTGCGGAATGGGCCGTAGCGGGGCGTCGGGTTCGTGGAAAGCAAACACTTTATTATTTTAAAGAACTTACTTAAACTAATGGCATGGCAATCTCTCACATTTGTTAACGCTTAAGACAATACGTCTGTAACCAATAAACTATCCCTTTACAAAGTGGATACAATACAAGTGGCCTTTCTAGTATTACAATTTATGACCCAAAGTTTTGTTAACGTTTTTATACACACAAAGGACGCCATGCACATGTTCTTATACATCTAACATATTTTACCTAAAGTCAAAGAATATTTATTTATTTATTTATATGCTAGTTCTCAATAATATTACTATGCTTTAAACCTAACGCGAGCTGTCCGGAACATTCTCCCGCCGTGCGTCGCTCGGTTGTCTTTGACCGACGACGCATCGTCTCCATGGTGAAGGATGGCTCCGTTAGTTGGTAAAATAATTGGTTTTCTAGCCGGCCGTTCTGGGATGCTCTCAGTTATTGGATCCGCTACTTTAATATCACCCTCTTGACTTAGGATTGTGTCAGCGACTATGTCATATGTCCACTTCTTGTAAGGAAGGCAATTGTCGCTTGTAAAGTCCACAAAACCTATCTTTACTTTTCCCGTGTCGTGGGGCTCCCGCCGGTATTGTACCTGCACACGAGAGTTTTGCTGGATCCTTTCCTTACTCGAGTACGCTTTCCACTTACGGACCATTTCTTCTCGTTTCCAATTGGAACGACGTTGTTTAATAAACAGATTTCTGTTCTGTATCCGCTTTCGTTGTTTCTTCTTTACGATCTTATTTATCGTTTCTTTGCCTTTCGCTCGATTCCAAACCATGTTTCTATCTTTATCGATCATTTTCATTTTCTTGAAGGATTCCTGCATGTCGGTATTGCTATCCAAACTGTCTTGTTTGAATATTGTTGAACTTGTGTGCGGTATGACCAGTGGCAAATTAGGATGCTCCACTAGGTCATAGTTTACGGCGACGCCTTTGTAACCTGATGACGTATCGGAGCGCCCTGTGCAGACTTTTACAGGTGTAGCTTCTTCCACGAATGCGACGTGATTCACGTTATCAGTTGTGACATCTTTCTCTAATTGGACCTGATCGACAATGTTCTTATTGGTGTAAGTGTCTGTTTTTATTTCTTGTTCGTATCTCGTTTCGAGTTGTGAGTTACGATCTAACTGTATTCCAACCGCTTGCATACTTTTGTGAGCGATGTTGCAAGTTTCAGGAGGGCTGGCGTTACTGTGATTTTGCTTTGTCGTTTCGAAAATCCCATCAACCTCTTGATGCGTATGCTGTTCGAGGAGATCTTGAGCCTTTTCGTTTAGATCGTAATTAAGCTTCCGCGACGTTGCGACAACGGTTTCTATGCTTGTCATATCGTTATTCTCGTTACTTAGGTGTAATAACGCATGATGGCTCCGTTGACACTCGTCGACGCCACACTGAATAGTCGGGCACTTATGATTTGTTGATCTCAGTTTCAAGCACCTAAAACATAACCACTTTTCTTTCGCTTTTGCCCACCGTTTATCTACAGTCAACTCATTAAAAACTAAACACTTGTTCACAGTATGTCCATTTTTGTCACAAATAACACAATTGTTTCGCACTTTCAGGTCTTTGGTCACATAGATACGTTGCAACTTCACTTGAGGTTTTTTCGACTCAAAGTTTGATTCAGGTCGCGCAAAGGGTGCACAGTTATCTGCTTCTGTACACAAGAATCGCTTCAACTTTAGTAAATCTGCTTCTTGTTTCGGTTGCTGCGCCGCATATGCAAAAAACCGATGCTGAAGCGTCGTCGACAGTTTTTCTACCGTAGATCTTGTTATTTCTGGGTTATAGAGATAATATATCTTTCCTAATGCTTCTAGGCTACATACTATATTACAAAATCTACTTGTAAACATACATAAATCTCTCGGCGTGCTACCCGGTTTTTGCAAATTTCTTAATGATTCTAATTCGGTAATCGCTATTGCGTCGGGTCGACCGAAACGAGACTCTAATAATTTCATAATTTCTTCCGGATTGGTGTGGTATATAAGCAGACTTCTCACAGCTTCTTTCGCTTTACCCACAAGGCATCTTCTGAGACGAGCCATATTTTCTACGTCACTTAAATGTCTTGCCGTTTGCCTATATGCTGATTGAAACGCTAACCACTCACTGTGTGATCCGTTGAATCTCGGAAGATCGAGGTTATGCTGACACATCATTTCAGCTGGTTGAATAGCTGCCATAATAGCGGAGGCCAGTTTGGATAAGTCACTCTCGCTTTCTTGCGCAGCTCCCGCCGGTGAACTTGTACCACCGTTTGTTTTGCTACCCAGTGGATCTTCGTTTGGGATGTGTCCCTCCAACGAAGATACTTTCTGCTGTAGCTTCAATAACTCCAAACGCAGTTGGAGGAGTTCTTCTTCCTTTGACTGTTCTTCCATATTTGAAACAGGCGAAGTCGAGCGTGTGCTGATATGTGAGATGTCGGCGAGTGCGTACATATTTGCGGTGCGATTCGTCCCCGAAAGGTAGCTCACTTGCAACTCTATTGGAGCTATACCTCAACGGGCTATGCGAATCTCTTGCAGGGGGCTTCTTCACTATAGCCACCCTGACACCACGGTGCGGCTGTGCCAAAAGGCATTTTAACAATCACAAACTAATCAAAACGATCCGGCTCGAAGGACCATTAATGTACGGGACTGTATAGCGTACACTAAACTATATTATAACCGGTTGTCTTGATGGTTTGGAAATAAAACTACCAGTACGTTGCCGCTAACGAATATGTCGCTATGCCACGACATCCGATTGCCACGCTACTGTTACGCGCCTATATCGTGCGCACAAAGTATGGAAACGAAAAGTCTAAAACGCCGCGTTAACTATCTATCAATACGATGCGAAGTACTTGCGACGCGAACCGTGAGAGGAGCGGCGTCTATGGGCAAAGTACTCGCGATGCGTGCCGTGTCGATGTTAGAAGCGAACTAGTTTGACCTGCTCCCAGAGCTCTCTTTTATGGTAACATCATTTCAGTCACAAGAGAGAAATGGGATGCAGGTATTGAGTGCGGAATGGGCCGTAGCGGGGCGTCGGGTTCGTGGAAAGCAAACACTTTATTATTTTAAAGAACTTACTTAAACTAATGGCATGGCAATCTCTCACATTTGTTAACGCTTAAGACAATACGTCTGTAACCAATAAACTATCCCTTTACAAAGTGGATACAATACAAGTGGCCTTTCTAGTATTACAATTTATGACCCAAAGTTTTGTTAACGTTTTTATACACACAAAGGACGCCATGCACATGTTCTTATATATCTAACATATTTTACCTAAAGTCAAAGAATATTTATTTATTTATTTATATGCTAGTTCTCAATAATATTACTATGCTTTAAACCTAACGCGAGCTGTCCGGAACACATATACAAATCAGAGGTCAATTCTGCGAAACAGGCGCCCTCTCACGTTGCATGCATGGTACAGCAGGTAAGGAGAGATCTCCGCCATCAACAGCATAGAGCATTGCGTTCAACAGACCAAGCAGGACAAGCTTCTAATGTATGCTCCGAAGAGTCGTCATTACTACTGCAATGGTAGCATGCAGCATTAGGCCTTTTACCAATACGACACAAGTACGTAAATACTCTCTATAGTTTACGCGAGTAGTGCACATTTAAATAAAACACTTTAACGGTTTAAAACGCGATATATTAGTTAAACTTATTTGAAAATGCAGCAGCCGTGGTCACGGGGAGACCCGTGACCCGTATGTAATAATAAATACTAAAAATTTCTACGCATTGTACATTTAATCAATTTAATTTTGAGACTTTTGATTGAACTATAGTTATAAATCTTTTAATTAAGTACTCAGCTTTACTAAAATTCTGTTTTTTTTACAGGTAGGTAAACATATTCTTTCTATACATAAGGTACAAACAACAAAAGAAGTTTTGTATTGCCATCTTGTGAAAAGAAAGCTCGCGCCATCTTGTTGAAATTGAATGCTCGTGGGAAATTGTTTTCGATGTGGCAACAATAAAATTACATGATACTCGTAAGCTCGCGAGCTGAAATCTTAAACATTTTTACTCCGCTTTCTTTTGCTCGAATTTCTTTAACTACTCATAAAATTAAAACGGAACTACACAATAACTTCAAACTGCAAATCGCAAACCTTTAAAACTTTGATATTTTTTGATTTTGATAAAAACCTATTTTGATGGAAAAACAGTTACGACATGTGGAGGACTTGAACCGCCATCCACAACGTCCCGTGCTGATGCTCTAACTAACTGCTGACTCGGTACCTCAGTTGGTTAGAGCAACGGCACGGAACGCTGTGGTTGTAAATGTTTGTCACTCTAAATAGGTTCTTAGTTTACAGAGTAGCCATCTATAAACTAAGAATCTAGGAAGAATCTAAGAAACATTTCATTTAACAAACATCTGAGTGCATTTTAATGTATATTGCAATAGATTATTCATTCCACTGGTTGCAATTAAAGCCTTTTAACGGTTTAAAACGTGAAACGTTCGTGATGTTTCACGTTTAAAATCGTATAAGTTTAATTTTTCATTTCTATACAAAAAATAGTACGCGCTGCTATTGTCAATCGTTGGTGCAATTAAATCTGCACAGTATTTTAACTAGAGTGACATACAGGAGCGAAAATTCCTGCGTAAATACTGTCTATAGTTTACGCGAGTAGTACACATTTAAATAAAACACTTTATCAGTTTAAAGCCGTGACCACGGCTGCTGCAAAGCATCCGAAACGTCGGGCCGAAGTTAAAAATCATTTCCAAATAAGTTTAACTAATATATCGCGTTTTAAACCGTTAAAGTGTTTTATTTAAATTCTTGCGTAGTTAGTAGTAGTAGTCCTTTCTCTTACTTCACAAGCACTCTCCTAAGTTTATATTTCTTCGTCTTTCTATGTTTATTAAGTAACTAGCGACCCACCCCTGCTTCGCTCCGGTCAAATGCTGATACTTAATAAACTACACAGAAACAGTGAACGTTGTATATAAAAACTTCCTCTTGAATCACTCTATCTATAAAAACCGCATCGAAATCTGTTGAGTAGTTTTAAAGATTAAAGCGTACATAGGGACAGAAGAAGCGACTTTGTTTTAATATTGTATGCTGATGGTTTGAGCTTTAATTTGAAACTGGTGGAAGTCGGAAGTTGTCAACAAGAGGTCTGGCAGCTCAGATGAAATCTCGTTATTCCGTCGACTTGTATGCAAATGTGACCTGAGGGTGCATTATAAAATTAACTGTCAGGGCTTTGATTTATCTGGTCTATTTTTAGGGTAGCGTTGCGTCATGAATATCGGAAAATGTAATCAAAAATGAAGAGTAATTTTATATAATATAAGCGCGATTTCGTCGAATTGATATCGTATGATAAATTGCATTTTAAAACTTATAACGGTTTAAAACTTAACTTTTTTACCATTTAATTTAACTAAGACCTGACAATGCGGATACAAAAGCCGTGGTCAGGAGAAGACTGAAGAAGTCAAGTATATAATAGAAATAGGTTAACTAATTACACGTTTTCAACCGTTAAAAGTATTTTTAAATTACTCTCGTAAATAGACATCTAAGTGTCTATTTACGAGAGTAAAAGTAATATTTTATAAAAATGGAAAAAAAAAAAAAAAAAAAAAATAATAAAAAATTTTGGGGGGGGGGGGGTTTTTTTTTTTTTACAGTGCTTTATGACTTAACTTACCGATATATTTTTCGTTTGAAGTATTCTAGGGTCTCCTAAACCCCGTTACTGTCTCTCTTTCTGTATCTATTAGTACGGACATCGATCAAGCTTTCATTGTTAAGATTAACATTTACTAAGAAATAATACGAATCACGTTACAGATGCTGAACTTGACTCCGCTTTTTAAAGGAAAACACGACCATAAGACCCATTCTGCCATATTGAAATAATATAATTATGCTCGAGCCTTTATTTGCCCATCTTTTGTTTGAAGAAGTATTGTGGACAGTGGTCCGTGACCCGGACAAAATTAAGATATTCCTACCATCTAGTTATCGAGATTTCCAAACGACGTTCAACGTGATTCTCTTTTTATTAGTGGGACAGACAGGCACTTGTCGACCTATTAGGGGATGGATTATCGGAAATCCACAGACTGAAGCAGAAACGCTATTAAACGGCTTTTCCACTATAGAGGGTAGTTCGCGAACCGGACGAATTTTCGTTAATCCTACGACCCATTTAATGTCTAGATTTCTTTGGGATGTCCTTCATAATTCGGAAAAGTTATTAGGTTGTTTAGTAAACGTATGACTCGGTGGAATTCGAACCCCACGACCCGATTATCCCGTCGAAATAACATAATACATATAGCCTTAACTCTAAAGTAAGTTTCTTTTAAGGTTTTTTTTTAAAAATTTTAAAATAAAAATTTTTTTTGGGGAAACACCCCGGGCGCCGCGCCGCCCCGGTTCAAGTCCTGCCCGAGTCGAAATTTTTTTCAATTTATTTTCGATTTATTAAATTTTTAGTGCCTTCATGTGCAATATCATGTAAAAATTAATAAAGTTTTCAAAGATACTTCTTACCAAATATCTTTTGACAGCTAGTTGACCCAATTTAAAAATGTCGCCGTTTTGATAAAAAGTGGTTTCTTTTTAAACCGTGCGAGGTTTGGGAGATAGGTTTTATTGGACGTTTCATATAACGAACGTCGATACCACAAAGAATATTGGATTTTCATTTGTTTATATACCGCCTTTTTGTATACAGCGCGGGATTTAATAAAAGTTTTTCGTAAAGTTTAAACGGAAATACGTGTACAAATAGATATTTTAAATTAAATTCTTTAAAAATTACTCCCATCATATTCCGCGTATTTCAATATTCGATTTGTCAAATTATAAAGCTTTTATAAACACATTAATGAAATTATTTAACATTTAGTTAATGTATAAAAAACTTGATTCATTCTGGGTTCGAATCCCGGGGAACCTATAGTTTCGATTGGGGAGGGCACAGAAAACTGGCCTTCTTACTAAATCTAATTTATCAATGAAACCAACTAAAATTAACTAAATTCTAATTGTATCAATGTAAACCAACTAAAATTAAAATTAAATAAATTTTAAATTTCGTTTTTATTGGGTTTTTTTCGTAAACCACAAACGGTGTTTAAAAGCGCATTATGCATTACTTACAGATATTTTAAGCCCAATATTTTAATCTACAATTTACAAGTTTCTTAACTTTAGTTTACTTGCGTAAATTACAGTACTTAATATCGTCTATTGCGCGTTGCTTTGAGATATATTAAGCCCGCCTACGAAAGCTTATAGTTGAGTTCTCGACATTATACAAGTTTCTTGTTTCGTATTTTCATATTACGCCTACCTTGCACATAATGACGTGGGTGTTGTTTCAAGTAAGAGTGTGAATCTACGGAGTTTCCACTATAAAGCACAGACTGACAAAATATTGGA